AAGGCTATTTATGAGGGACTGGGGGATTTTTTATAACGCAGACATACATAAACCATTTATATGCACATACATTTATATGTGTGCACACACATGCCCACACACACATACATGCACATACATGCCTACACACACACACACACACACACACACACACACACACACACACACACAGCCAGCAGTTAAATCACAATGATGAAGGAAGAAATTGATGTATTGACTACTTCAAAGTAAGCAATTAGCCCTAAGACTTGGAGAAGATTTTGCTGTTTAAATTTATGTAAGTTATCTCTGATACTCCTTCAAACCAAGAAGAAAACCATAGAAAGGCAAATCCATAGTATTTGGTAGAAGCTATGAATAAGCAGTTGAAATGAGTGGCGGTGCATTTGAGTGAGCTTCATCAGAAACAGAAAGTGTGATGGTCTTTGGGCCTCGTTGAATAGACTTTGATGTTCTCAGTGCTGTGGTTCAGGTCTGATTTCAGGTTGGGGATTCTTTCTTCTCTTAGGCAAGATAGCGCACAGCTCAGTCTTCCCACTTGGGAGTCTGTGCAGGAAGATCTTGAGTGCTAGGCCAGCCTGGGTTACCAGGTGATGGAGCAGATAGGTAGCTAGATAGATGACACAGAGATAGAGGACGAGAGAGAAACATGACTCAAAGGTAGAAAGAACATGTAATGATTCATCGCGGTGCGTGTAAAGGAATAAAAAAGGCAGGATAGCTTTAGAAGGAGACAAAGGAAATAATGTCAAACCCGGGGCTAGAAGTGTGGACTTTTCCCTTGTACAGTCATATGTCACTTCACAGTGGGGTTCTGTTATGAGAAATGTGTGAGTCGATGACTTCATCACTCTACAGATATCATGGCAGTAAATTATACAATTTACTTTTCTGCTGTGTACCTAGGCTGGATCACAGTTGGTGGAGCTCCTGTTACATGCAGCTCCCGCTGACTGAAGCACAAGCATTTGACACATGGCTGCACATTCAATACTTTGTAGGTCATTATAAGAGTTCTTTATAGCATTGGACGATGAGTTAACAGTGAACATACTCTTTAATTTTCACATCTTTGTCAATTTTCTACAATCTTTTATATTGTTTTGTGTTTCATATCTTATAACCGAAACAAACATTTTGGTGTGGTTCCGGTTTTCTTACTTTGCTGAAACTTTTTGTAGCTCGCCCTGTGGCTTATCCTGGAGTGTTGTGTGTGCGTGCTCTTGAGATGAATGTGTCTTCTGCTATCTTGAGATGAATGTGTCTTCTGCTGTCTTGAGATGAATGTGTCTTCTGCTATTTTGGGATAGAAAAAATACTTATTTTTGTCCCCTCTGACTTAAAGTGCATTTCAAGACTTTTATTTCCATATTGATTTTCTGTTTATATGCTCTGAAAATTGTGGACAATGAGCCAATGGAGCCCATCTGTTTTTTACTTTTTCATTAGTAATTTCCTAATATTGACCGTATGTATTTTGCTGTTTCAGCGTTGGGTATATACATATTTGGAATTCATATATGTTGTTGATGAATTTATTATAACAGAAGAACTTTCTTTGAATCTCTTTACAGTTTTTGGTATAGTAGTTTGTTTTATCTGGTATAAGGTAACCATCAGTCTCCATGTCCTTAGTGGTGAATGAGTCTTACAGGCAGCCTGAAGTTGAGTTTGGTCTTTTTCTTGTAGGGCAATCTTTCATTTTTTTGGTAAGAGGCTTTTATCTGTTATATACAGGATACCCAGCGGTAGATAAGGAGTGGTAATTGTGACTTGATTTTATTCTAATCGTTTTGTGGATTTTTCCCTTTAACTTTGAAATCGTCATACACAGGAGCATGTCTCCTTATGACATTTCATCCTTGCTTAGTTTGATCTAGTTGCCTTCAGAGTTTTATTTTTTTCTCCCAGCACCCCCCCCCCCCCCCCCCTTTTTTTTTTGGTTCTGGGAGTGTAGAGAGAGAGAGAGAGAGAGAGAGAGAGAGAGAGAGAGAGAGAGAGAGAGAGAGAGGAAGGAGTGGGGTGGATGAATGAATGAGGATTTGGTGTTTATTTTACAAGGGCTTCTCTTAGGTGGTTCTTCTCTTAGTGCCCTTTTATTACTACTTTTGTCAAATTCCTTCTCCTTATCTCTTTCATTGTTTATTTCTGGGGCTTTTTATTTCACCTGCTACATTAACTAAAATCTTAGTTGTTTCTCTTCTCTTGCCCTCTGTCAGTTTTCTTTTGTATAGTTTTTTTTTTTATCAATTCTTTTTCTAGCTTACTGTCTTCTCATGAAGGACTTCTTCATCTTCGATAGCATATCTTTTATTCTAGAATTTTGATCTGGTTCATCATTACTATTTTCTGTTCTAATTCCCCATTTGTTCACAGATGATGTCCACCTTTTCTATGTACTTCTTATTTTAATAATTTTTAAACATTTTAGTTAAAATATGATTATATCATTCCTTCTCTCTCCATCCCACTTGTCCTATGCTTTATCCTTACTCCCTTCCAAATGTAACTATTCCCAAGTCATGTTTCTTATGACAGAGTACTGACTTGTTGTTTCTGTCTCTTTGCGCTGTATCTTTGAATTGTATTCACACCTTGACGTGGAACACCCTTCCCAGCAGACGGTTGTATTCACACCTCGATGTGGAACACCCTTCCCATCAGACGGTTGTATTCACACCTTGATGTGGAACATCCTTCCCATCAGACTGTTGGTGTTGAGAATTGAAACATTAAGGAAACCAAGAATTCCGCTAAGTTTGGATTTTGATGTCACCATCATTGTCCTTAGTGCAGCATAGTCATAAATCTCTTCAGAGGATGTGAGCTGCTTCTGCACTCCCTTATAATGGATGCTGGGGCACTAGAAGCTGCTATCCTCACCCTCCGCCCATGGGAGGGCTACACTTATCTTTCCCATGAACTTGAGTCTTTGGATGTAGTCAACTTCTGGTGCTTTATTACTTGGTGATTGCTTCCTAGGGATCGGGTGTTCTCTGCGATGTTTTCCCAGTTTTGACAGGCCCCAATCACCTGGACCTTGAGAATGGGTCACCTTAGGAGCTCTTGGTCTCTCCTAGCCATGGAAACTCGTCTGCCTTGATCTCCAGTTCTGTATCCAGCTTTGGAGAGGAGCTTCCTCCCATATCCTAGTGATAAAAGGTGTTTTGTTTGTGTTGTTGTAGGATCTTGTCCCTAAGGTATTTTTTTCTGCAGTGTGGATAAAAGGGTTTTCTTCAATCTTGTCTGTAGCTATAATGACTCTTTGCCTTCATCTTAAGTGACAAAGCTCACTTTTCCTCCCTGTGGTTTAAATAAAGCTTTTACTATTTTAGCAAAATCAGGAAATCATGTCTGTACCTCAGCCCCAATTTAACTTAATGTCTGCACGTAGGCACTCCCTCAAAAGCAGAGATTTATTTGTCCTGGCGGTGTTTTCTAGACTTCCAGAGCCCTTGTGGAGGGAGGGGTGTGAGAAGAACCTGTGATTATCAGCCTTTCTTGAGCTTGGATCTTTAGCGGCTTGCAGCTGTCATGTTAGATGAGTCTTGCCATTGCACAATTTATTAAAATTTTGACTGATCTCTGTCTGGCGATGTAGCTTCATAGATGGAGTGTTCGCCTAGAATGTGTGAAGCCTTAGTGTCACAGCCATATAGAATGCATGTGGCTGTGTGTGCCTGTGATCCCAGCACTGAAGACTTGAAGCTGGAGGATCAGAAGTCCAGGTCATCTTTGCATACAAAGCAAGTTTGATGCCATCCTTGGATATATGAGATGCTATCTCAAAAACAAACACAAACAACCCCTAAATACTAAAGTTTTTCCTTTACCTATCAATATGGTTCTACTTACTTTTCTGATGATATTGCCAGAGTTGGAACAATTAGACTTGGTGTTCTTTGGAATTTCGATTGTTTGCCTGATAACTTCCCTTCTGATAGGCTCAAAATAAATTGTGGTTTTGTAGATTGTCATCCTTAGGATTGGAGTGATATCACTTTTAGTTTTCTGAATCTTCTTAAAAATTGTTTTTGGTTTTTCTGGGACAGGGTTTCTGTGTGTAATAGCCCTGGCTGTCCTGGAGCTCACTCTGTAGACCAGGCTGGCCTCAAACGCACTGAGATCCGCCTGCCTCTGCCTCCTGAGGGCCGGAACTCCATGGCTGTGCCACCATGCCAGCACTCCTGGCAGTTTTCTAAATTTTAAATTAATCATAGTTATTAAAAATTACATTTGTAATTATAAATACAATAGAAACGTTTGTAGTGACAGTAAATGATACAACTTTCCTTTTTCTTAGCCTACTTTTCTTTTTAATTCATTTTATTTTTATTTAGCTATGTGTGTGGGTATGAACAAGTGTGTGTATCTCCACAGAGGTCAGAAGGGGCATCAGAACTGTGGGACTGGAGTTACAGGCCGTGGTGAACCACCCAGTGTGGGACCTGGGGAACCAGCTGTGGTTCTGAGAGTCGCCAGGGCCAGGGCCCTTAGCGTTCGAGACAGCCCTGTAGGCCCCAGTGTTTTCATCCTAAAGGAACCTGGCTTTACTTTACTTGCACAGCTCCATTTGTTAGACTGAGAATACATGAAGGTATTTTCTCTTTACAGCTGAGTTGTCTTCAGACTGAGTCTAGTTCCCTCCAGTTGAGACCATGTCTCCTCTTTTAAGATGCTAGGTTATGACTTCTTTGTGGAGGTAAAATTGTCTCCCGTACTTCTGAAGCTAAACTGATGAAAAATAATAGTAGGTAGAAGTGTGGTTTAATATTCAAGGAAATGTTCCACAAACGTAATTTAATAATTAATATGTATATCAAAGATAGAATTAATTTCAAGATTTTTATGATGTAATATGCCATTCAAGCAAGATATTCTATAATTTATAAAATTAAATTTTATACTCTTTTAATCTCATCCTGCATATTTTGGTTATAAAATTATGATTCTCTGATCATCAGAAAACTATTTTTTAAAATCCTTTTTTTTTTCTGCAGAAAACTGCATCAACAATTTGAAATGTATAAGGAACAAGTAAAGAAGATGGGAGAAGAATCTCAACAGCAGCAAGAACAGAAGGGCGATGCCCCAACCTGTGGTATCTGCCATAAAACAAAATTCGCGGATGGATGCGGCCATAACTGTTCTTATTGCCAAACGAAGTTCTGCGCTCGTTGTGGAGGTCGAGTGTCATTACGCTCAAACAAGGTACGGAGCTGAAATACGATTGTTTCCCAATAGTTGAGCTTACCGTGAATACAGTGCAACGACACCTGCAATCACTTAACAGATTAATCAAAGAGCACACAGTTTACCGAATGAGAAAGGTAATGTTGGCTGTTCTGTGGCCCTGAGCCACAGGCCTTTGACTTCATCACAGTGAAGACATTTACTGTTGCAGGGGGCTGCTTGTTCGTTTCTGGCTGCCCAGACTTCTGAAATAATCACACCAAAACTGTATTAATTAAGCCACTGCTTGGCCCATTAGCTCTAGCTTCTTTATTGGCTAACTCTTACATATTAATTTAACCCATTTCTATTAATCTGTGTATCGCCATGTGGCTGTGGTTTACTGGTTTAAGTTCAGTCTGACTCTTGCGGGGCTACATGGCTTCTCTATCACTCAGCGACCTTTTTCTTCCAGCATTCAGTTCAGTTTCCCCCACCTAGCTCTGTTCTACCCTATCAGGCCAAGTCAGTTTTGTTATTCATTAACCAAAAAAAAAAAAAAAAAAAAAGCAACACATAGATAGAAAGACCTCCCACATCAATTTATAGATTAATTGATCTGCCCCACAGCGACTAAGATGGCTTCTTATAGAACTCTGTGTAAATCTTTCTATCGCCCTGACAGTAACACAAACTTTGTAGACTATTTTTTATCTTAGTCATTTGAAACAAGGCTGGTCCAGCTCTGAGATTCTTTTCTTCATTTCATAACTTTGTAAGCTCTACTGTCCTTTGTTTTTGTATTGAGGAAATATCATTCAGCTATGGAATTTAAATGTCTAGTCTTCCATATTTCTTCTAGGCTTTATCTCTGCTTTATCCTCTTCAGTGAATATACTACTCATAGAGGACTTTGTCAATTAGCAAGGCCAGTATTGCAGATGCTCTTCTTACTAAGTTCTTTTGAATTTCTGTCCTTATTAATATCCTATCACCAAACTGATTACTTAGATAGTTCTTACATGCAGAGTTAATCTGTATGCGCATTATTTGGGAATAATTGTGGGAATTAGTTCTCCTGTGTGATTTCATGTTTTTATTTTCTTATTGTTTGTTTCTCTCAATGTTTTGCTTGCCCAAAAGTAATCCTTTATTTCTTCTAATGCTTCTTCTTGATTTGATCATGTTTTGTGCATACACATATGTGTGTGCATGTTCATGAATGTGTATGTATGTGAATGTATGTATGCATGTATGTATATTCATATATGTATATATTTATGAATGGATGCGTGTGATTTATATATGAATTGTGGTATAATTTTAAGTAAAACAATACAAGCAGAAATCCTTAGTTTTAAAAGGAATATATTGTTTTTCAGAATTAAGTGTAATTTTTTCACAGATACCATCAATTACAAATTTGCTAAGAATTCTTTCCTTTAAGATCTTGAATAGGCATTAAAGTTTCCCAATGCCTTTTGCCACCCACTGAGATTAATTTTTATTTTTTCTTTCTTTAAGGTGGTGAGGTATTGACTGATTTTTGAATATTAAACCAACTCTGTTTTCTTCTAATAAAATCCATCTAGTCATTCATGATAGATAATTCATTTCATATATAAATGAATTTGATTTGCCAGTGTCTTTTTTGATTTTGGAATTAACATCACACTGGCCTAATGAAAAAGATTATATGAAGTATTTTACTTTCTTCAATATCACAGAAGAGTTTGTATAGAACTGGTATTATTTCATTTTTTGATGTCTGATCAAGTGCAGAACAATTGAGTTGCCCTACTCCATGACACAAGTCCTTTTTTAATTATTAAAAATATTTGTTAGATCTTATCTGTGAAGTTATCTGGGCATGCATTTTTATTCACCGGAAGGTTTTAAAGTATACTTTCAATTTTTTATTTGATTCAGAGTTCTTTTTTGTATGTGTGAATATATTTTCATAATTATATCTTAGGAATTTGTTCAGTTTCACATAAATTATTAAATTTATGGATTTAAAAATATTCATAATATTCCATTATTTTTAATATGCATGTAGTCAGTGGTGATGCTGCATCATTCTTTATTTTTGTAAAGTCTTTCTTTTTTGTTGAATTTGTCTGTATATTTGATAATTTTGTTGATATAAAAATCAACTTGATTTATTGAATTTTCTCTATTTCTAAATTATGCTCTGATCCTTATTATTTCTTCTACTTCCTATGGTTGAATTTTGTAGTTTCATAAAGGGAAAATGAAGTTTTAATATCTTTCCTTCTCTGATATAAGAATCACATGCTCCTAATTTCTTTCAAGTACTGTTTTAGTTGCTTCCCTCAAATTCCAATTTAATTTTTTTCATTTTTTCTTAAATTGAAAATACTTACAAAATTTCCTCACAGCCTCTCCATCTTCTTCTGCTTTGATTCTGTCTCCAGGCCCTTCCTTAGCTTCTGTTTGTGCCCTGCTCTGTGGACATCTGAGCGGTGGTAGGCGGGGTTTATAGTTTGTGCCCTGCTCTGTGGACATCTGAGCGGTGGTAGGCGGGGTTTATACAGAGCTTATCTTATCGTCCATGCTTCACTAACATTGACCTTTGTGGCCTCATATTAATTACCTTAAAAACATTTAACATTGATTATTTGGGGTTTCATCCATGCATATATGTATTTTGATAATATTTACCCCTTCCCCCTCTATCCACTTCCCTTCCCGTTATCCTCTCCCTTTTCTTCTCTCCCATTCTTTCAAATATTTCATTAAGTCCAATTAGTGTTGCTCATATGCACATGGGTGTGCGGCCGCCTGTGGACCATGGTACAGTACAAGGGGATGTATTCTGAAAAGGAGACTTTTCTCTCCTCACAGCCATCAGCTATCTGTTGCTCCTCAGCAAGAGGTAGGAGCTTCTGGGTTCTTCCCTACTTGGTGCTGTAGTGTTCACCGGGCTGATCTTGTGCAAGCCGTGGGCAAACAGCCACAGCTGCTGTGAGTCCCGAGTGTCTTGTCATGCCCAGAAGATACCGTTCACTCCATTGGCTCTTACACTCTTAGTGCCTCCGTTTCCCCACAGTTGTCCGGGGAGAGGGTGTGAGAGAGCGCTTGCACGAGCACTTCAAAGACACTCTGTTTTCTGAGCATTTGTGAGAGTGTGTTCTCACTGCTATTCACTGCACAAAATCTGCTATCAGGTGTCTTAAAAGACGTTCTTCTAGTCAGATACGGAGGAACCTTGTTTAATCTGAGCTACTGGTAAGGCCAAGGCAGGGTGATGTTTACATTTGAGAGTAGTTTGGGTTACAGAAGAAGATCCCATCTCAGTTAAAGTAAAACAGGACTGTAGATATAGTCCAGTGATAGAACAATGATAGAGCTGATGTCTAATCCGAGAACAACAAACCAAATCACACCATGTTTTACTGCCTTTTGTTCAGACAGGAGGAGAAATCTGATCCGTGCTTGTCAATGTAGACCAGAAAAAAATATCTTGTGATATCTCATCATAGCTTAATTGCTTGCTAATATAAATCGCAGTTTCTACTGTATGGTACCTTTTGACTGAATAGAAATCTTAAGTACAGTAAAATGTTGGAATACTCCTCGAAAAGGTATTATATCGCGAGCAACTTTTAATCTCTCTGTATTCTAGCTTAGCTGCATGAACAGGTTTGTTGGAGAAGGAAGGGGCAGAGACAGGACACTTCATACCCTTGTCCCCCGAATTTTGATCTCTATCTGGGGACTCATGCCAGGAAAGTAAAATACATTAAAAAGCAGTTTAGATTTTAGTTCAGGGAAGACAGCTCTGGATTTCTTTATTAGTATTTCTAAGTTTTCTTTCAAGTAAGGAGCTGAATATGAACATCTTAATTTATATTGGAAGACATTCATTGGAATAGAATGGGGGAAAGCCACCCAAGTTTTGAGATAAAAAGATTACAAGGTTCAACTTATGTTTTCAAATTTGGTCTTGTAAATGCCCAGCTGCCTCATGTTATAGAAGACTTTTGTTTGCAACAGTGGCTCAATGCACTTCTTTGACTTACCCTAGCTCCAAAGAATTAAGGTCAGTGATATATTATCAGACTGTCCTTTTAGAGAATACAAATATTTTAGATATCAATAGCTAGTCATAAAGCTATTAAAATTCTTTCTGTAATCTTCCAAGAGAACACAAGGAAATAACTGTTTTAATTTTGAGACTCTTTGATGTGGAACCATCCTTAGCAATTAATTATGTCTCTGAAGTCCACTGAGGACAGGGAAGGAACAAAGGGTGCCAGTCGTGTGGAAATGCCAGTGCAGATAGACGACACCACACTGCTGCTATTCTCCTCTTAAGACGTTACTTACTCAACAAGTAAAAATTGCGTATGATTTTAGTCAAATGAAAAAATAAGGAAACATTATTTTGTAACATTTAAATTGTGATAAACACTGAATTGGAAAGACGTTAAGCATAACTTATAATAAGGATTGTTTTTTTAAAACTTTACTTTTTTTTGTTTTTTGATTGTTCAAAACAGAGTCTCTGTGTGGCCCTGGCTGTCCTGGAACTCGTTCTCTAGACCAGGCTGGCCTTGAACTCAGAGATCCACCCGCCTCTGCCTCCTGAGTGCTGGGGTTAAAGGTGTACACCACCATGCCCAGCAATAAGGATTATTTTAAACTTCAAAATATGTTAACTTGAATTTGTTTCTTTTGTCTTTTGGTAGGAAAAATTGATTTCCATGTGTTTAATTAATTTCTTCTGTTTGATTAATCTAACTTAGAATTTTCAGAATTACACTGTTTAGCTTAAATAGAGTACTTCAAATGGGGCATTTCATTTATAGTAACTTTTTATAATCTGTAAAATAAAGGAATTAATCTAAATGACCTCTAAGGTTTCTTCTGGGATTAATATCTTATAAAATCAATTTACTCACACAGTTCTTGAAATAGCTGATGAATGAATGTACTTCTACTAAATGAAGCAAAAGCTTTATTTCTACTGTTTAAATAATTTAAAAACTAATAAAGAAGCTTCATTAATTCTT